TTCAGTTGAAAACAATGTTGTGTAAACAGTCCCTTAATTCAGGTCTCCAGGATCAGAAACCAGTGGTATAGATTATTCCCATACATCTACAGTAATATCTGATGTTAATATCTTTTTTTTTTTTTAACTTATCTAGTTGAACATGCCATTGCTGTTTTTACTGCCCTACCGCTGCTCTTCCCATCTGGGTCTGCAGCACCGAAGAAACAGGTCCCAATCAGTGAGGCTCTTTTCCATGTTCTGACGGTGAGTTTTACTTTAAGTAGTGATAAGTTAATAACAGGTGACTACATTGTCAATAAAATACTAAGTTAAAACCATCCCAATTGCACTACGTAAAATTGGACATGCAATGTAACAACTAACTTAAAGGTATTGTAGAAAATTTTTTAATTATGTCTTCATTTACTTAATCACAACCTGCTGAACACAAAAGTAAGATATTTTGAAGAATGTTGATATGCCAACCCAGATCTGTTGGGTTGGCATTCACTTCCATTGAGAAAAAAAAATATGGAAGTGAATAGTGACCCAGATCTTATATTAATTTTTGCTGTGTTTGTAGTCTGAATTCTGTATTTTTGTTATTTGGTTTTCTAGCCCTCAGAGGATCCGGATACCTACATCCACAGGCGTGCATTTTCCAGTCCTGTCTTGCTGGTTGGTGAGGAGAACTGCATGGTGGTTGTAGGTACAACCCCAGTACTAACATTTGACAAAGACTTGCTCTATGAGGGGCCTCTCTACCTCCTGGCCTATTACTATGCATTTCATCTCACATATCCAAAGTGTCTTGCAACACTCCTGTCTGTGTTGCAAACACAAGTTCTGAGAGATGTCATCCACGAGCAGGATGAAACCCCCTCGTACAAAAAGGCCATTCATGAATGGAGAATGTTTGTTGACTAATTGCTGTTTCAAACTGCTGTGGCTGAGAGACAGCTGCATTTTTTTTTTCGGCCATTACATTTGCACTTGATTTGTGCTGTTAGGAGTTTTTCCCCATTTTCAGGAGATTAAATGTATCTAACATACAGTAATGCAGCACAGCATAACAAAAAAAAGTAATTGCTGTGTGTAACTTTACAGGACTGCTGAGGGTATACAGTGTTGTTTTGTGCCAGAGTATATTTTTTGTTGTTATTATTAACGTTGGACTGTTCATCCTGTTTTGCTGTACCTCAGTTGTTTAAGAGGAAAATGTTCATTTTTGAATCTGCCATGGATTCAAGGCATTGTTGACCCAAACTTCAATTACTTCTTAATCTTATGTTGTACAAACCTGTTTTTTTTTTTCTTTTGGCTACAGATGATATTATTTAGAATGTTGGGAACTGTTGATGGTAGCTATTGACTTTCATAGTATTTTTTATTTTTTATTTTGTATATTTTTCTTGCTATGAAAGCTGGCGACATTCTTCAAAGTGTCATCTTCTGCAAAAAAAAACTCATAAGGATTTTAAGAACATAAGGGTGAGCATGATAATTATTTGATTTTTGGGTTGCTATCATGTTACGAAGTAAATTGATCCAGGCTGTTTGAAGCTTAAATGCTGTTTGAGTTTGTGTAGACTGAGGCAAAGCATTTTGCATAGAATACTTGCGGTTTCTGTGCCAGGTATTTTATTTCATTTTAAAGTTTAAGCTTGTCTTTGCTTATCCTGCCTTATGCTCCATTTGTTTAGAACTTTAAAGAATGTTCTTTAATAAATGTTCAGCAAAGCTGGAAGTTGTTTCTTCACTTAAAGTGGGGGAAGGTGTGGGAGGTATTTTCTTTTAAGAGTTTTCATCTCATTTAGGTTTTTGTGTGATTTAAAAAAAAAAAAAATCTAAATAGGCTGGATTTAAGGTAAACTATTCTGCTTTCAATGCATTTTCCCCCTAAAATTATTATTGTCGTGCTTCAAAAAAGAGAAAACTGCTCAATTTTAAGCTTGTTTGTCTAGTTTTAAGAACTAACTGTAGATTTACTGACTAGATTTAAGTTCAGATATTCTAGTTTTAATGCAATTTGTTCTAGAATTATTCATGTTCAGTGCTTATAAAAAGAAAAAAACTGCTTAATTTTAAGCTTGTTTGTCTAGTTTTAAGAACTAACTCTAGATTTACTGACTAGATTTAAGTTAAAATATTCTAGTTTTAATGCAATTTGTTCTAGAATTGATAATATTCAGTGCTTATAAAAAGAAAAAACTGCTTAGTTTTAAGCATATTTGTCTAGTTTTAAGAACCAACAGTGTTTTTAATGACTAGTTTTAATACAATTTTCACTTATTTATGTTCTATTAAATTCTTATAAAAAGCTAAAATGCCTAGTTTTAAGAATTTGTGTCTAATTTTAAGATCAATAGAAATGTATTATCGTCTAGATATTAATGCTATTTTCAAGAATTCTTACCAAGTCAAATTTGCTTACCCCATTGGCAGATTTATTTGCTTGATTTTGGTACACTTTAACTAGATTTAAGTCATTTTTGCTTGTTTCAGGAAGGGCATTTTTTGCAGTGTGTGTGTGTGTGTGAGCGGATTTGCACTTGAGTTCAACATCACTCACACACTTTCATGATAAACAGTCTCTGCTGGCTTTTATGAGCAGCACATCATTATCATTTTTCACGTCAGCATGTGTTTGGGATATTCAGTGTCAGGAAAAGGTGCCACAGTATAATGAATGGATGCCTGTAGACATACAGCTTAAAGCCACATCCACTGGAGGCTTTTTGTTTTTTCTTTACATGTTTAGGCTTTTTTATGTACAGTTGAAGTCAGAATTGTTAGCCCCCCTGTTTATTTTTCACATATTTCTACACATAATAGTTTAATATAATATAATTAGGCAAGTTATTGTATAACAATGGTTTGTTCTGTAGACTATCGAAAAAATATAGCTTAAAAGGGCTAATAATATTCACCTTAAAATTGTGTTTAAAAAATTAAAAACTGATTTTATTCTAGTCAAATCAAAACAAATAGGACTTTCTCCTGAAGAAAAAAAATATTATCAGACATACTGTGAAAATTTCCTTGCCCTGTTAAACATCATTTGGGAAATAATTAAAAAAGAAAAAAAAAATCAAAAGGGGGCTTATAATTCTGACTTCAACTGTATGTGTTTAACATATAATTCGGTGATTTTTTTTTTTTCATATTGTGTTTATTTTATTAAATTTCATTCACATAATTTTCTGTAGAAAAATATAAATAAATACATATTTAGATCAAACTTATTTAATTATTTTTTTATTTTTTTATTTATTATTTATTTACTTATTTATTCAGTTATTTAGTTGTTCATATACAATATTATATAATTTTAATGATTTAATTTCATTTAATTTCCTTTTACTTATTTTAAATTTATTTAATTTTATTTAACCACGTAGTTTTATATATTAATAAATATTTATTTAAACCAAACTTATTTTTTTTTTTTTAGTTACACATATTTAATTTAATTTAATTTGTCTTATTTTATTTACACACATAATAAATATTTATTTATTCATTTATTTATTTATATATTTATTCAACAACACATCATTTAATTTTATTAAATCATATATGATAATAAATAATATATTTAATTTATTTTATTTTATTTTATTTTAATTAATTATATTTTATTTTATAACATTTATTTTAATTTAATTTTTATTTTAATTAGATAATTATTTATAGAAATGAATATAAAACCTATTTATTTATTTATTTATTTATGTATTTATTTGTTTATTTATTTTTCTTTTTTTCTTATTTAACAACACATAATTTCAGTTTATTAATTCATATATTATATTATATTATATTATATTATATTATATTATATTATATTATATTATATTATATTATATTATATTATATTATATTATATTAATACATGCATTCTGCATGTGTGTGTGTGGTTGTTATTCTGCACACAGCTCTGCTCTGCATTAATCAGTGAATGCTAAACATGAATCCTCTATTTATTTAATGCTGATCCAGCGAAAGCGTCCTGTCCGGGTATCGGATTTTTCCTTCATGCGTCAGGCTAATTACAAAGGCTAATTAAGATTTAGGCCTGTGTTGTCCTTTGCTGAGTCCTTTGTCACCACAATGTAAGTGATCCGCATTGATTTTATTTGCTCATTTCTTTTTAATTGCGCGGCTTTGTCTCCATGTGAAATAGGAGCTCACGATTCATGAAAATGTAAGTCAATATGATTTGCTTCCCCTTTCACGCCATGTCCTTGTGCATAAGATGGAAACGAAGAGTGAGTTGCATTATTTTTACAAAGGCTAAAATGACATTAATGGTGCATTTAAGAGAATAATGTTGATCTGAAAGCGACTAGCAGAATGGAGAAATCGTTTTTGAATTTGTTCAGACTTAATAGAGATAAGGACTAGTGTTCTTCTTTATGTTGTTTTATCCTTTATCTCAATGCAAAAACAAGCTCTTAATGGCTCATATCACCTCTGCTTTTGTAACAACTGTAATGAGTTAGGAAACAGTCCAGTCCAGCTTCAGTTTAATAGACAAGAGAGTTTTGTGCATTTCTAATAGGTTTACATTTGAATATTGAAGACATTTTGGTTAGACAATCATTTGTTTGTTTGTTTGTTCATTCGTTTGGTTACTTGTTAGTTTATTTTATTTGTTTGTTTAGTCATTGGTTTCTTCATTCATTCATACTTATGTTAATTTGTTCATTACTTAATTTGTTTGGTCATTCCTTCCTTTATTTGTTCATTCATTTGTTTGTTGATTTATTTGTTCATTTGTTTGTTCATTTGGTTGTTCGTTTATTCATTTGTTTGATCGTTCGTTTATTTAATCCTTCATTTGTTTGTTTGTTCATTCATTTTTAGTTTGGTTCATTCATTGTCATTTATTCTTTTATTTGCTTGTTCATCATTGTTCAAAATCATTTGTTCATTTGTTCAGTCGATTATTTGTTCCTTTGTTCGTTTGAATGTTTATGCATTCATTTGTTCATTCAATTATTTGTCCACTCGTTTTTTCATTCATTCATTCATTCATTCATTCATTCATTCATTCATTCATTCATTCATTCATTCATATGTTCATTCATTTGTTTATTTATTAATTTGTTCACTTGTTTGATTGTTTATTTTCTTTTAAATTAATTCATAAATTTGTTTGTTTAATAGCTTGTTCATTCATTAATCCATTTGTTGATTCATTCATTTGTTGTTTCATTCATTTATTCAATCATTTCTTTGATCAATCATTTATTTATTCATTTGTTAATTTGTTCTTTTGTTCAATCAGTTGTTTGTATATTTATTTATGTTTATTCGTTCATTTGTTCATTCATTCATTCATTTATTCGATCATTCTATCCATGTATCTGCCCATCCATCCATCCATCCATCCATCCATCCATCCATCCATCCATCCATCCATCCATCCATCCATCCATCCATTCATTCATTCATCCATTCATTCATTCATTCATTCATTCGTTCGTTCATTTATTTGTTCATTTGTTTGATTTGGAAATTCATTCTTCCATTCGTTTGTTTGTTTCTTTGTTCATTCATTCATTAGTTTGTTTGTTTGAGCGATCATTTCTTTGTTTATTCATACTTTTGTTTGTTTTTGTTCTTTGTTCATTCATTTGTTCATTTTTTAGTTTGTTTATTCAATCATTCATTCTTTTGTTCTTTTGTTCAATATAGTATGTATTTATTAACATCCTTTGCCAGTTTCTAGGTTGTTTTTTTTTGTTTATGTTTACAACTAACAGATATTTACAAGTCAGAAAATAAAATATCCTGTACATTTTGTCTTTCCCTCGTTACAAAATGAATTTATTGTTGCTTGCCTGTTTTTTTTTAAATCTTTTAATAAAGTCGGATAGTTTTGTCTGTCAGTTAAACATCTGTGTTTAGATAAAGCTCAGAAATGCATCAGATGTTGTTGTGCAACTTCTTTAAGTTACGCAACACGTTCTAATATGCTCTTATTAAAGTGATCAGTTTTATAGTGCAGCTGAATTTGCAGTACAGTAGAGTACAGTACAGTAAAGTAGTGTTTCTCAACCATGTTCCTGGAGGACCACCAAAACTGTCTTTTTTTATCTGTCACACCCATTACAGGTAAATCAGTCTCTGCTAATGAGCTGATGATCTGAATCAGGTGTGTTTGTTTGAAGAGACATGGAAAATGTGCAGAGCTGGTGTTCCTCCAGGCTCGTGGTTGAGAAACACTGCAGTGGAGTGCAGTACAGTAGGTCTTTCAGAGCTCCCCTTGCAGATAATGATGATTATCATTGGTGTGAGTGTCAGGATGGAGGTCAGCAGATCCAGCTGTGAGGAGCAGCAGATGTTCATCAGTGACCCGCAGGCCTGCAATTACTGCCTGCTTCAGGAAAATTATATTCATCATGTGGATCTCATCATTTATCAATGCCATACATCATCTCATCGGCTGTACTGGAGGATGTACTGTGAAGCGATAGTCTTAAGATGTTGCTTTATGCATGTATTAGTTTATTTTTTGTGTATTTATTAGTTTATGTATTTGTTTGTCTGTTCATTTATTTATTTTTTTGTTTGTTTATTCATTTGTTCGGCCATTTGTTTATTTTATTTAATTTGTTTTATTTATTTATTTGTGCATTCATTTGTTTGTTTATTCTTTCTTTTGTTTGTATATTGAATTTTATTTATTTTATTTAAAAAAAAAATTTTTGCATTAATTTGTTTGTTTATCTGTTTGTTCATTTATTTTATTTGTGTTATTTAATATGTGTTTAATAATTTGTTTGTTTTAATGTTTATTTGTGCATGCATTTGTTATTTATTTATTAGTTTGGTCATTTATTTTATTTAATTTTATTTGTTTTATTTATTTGTGCATTCATTTGTTTATATGTGTATTTAATTTGTTTTATTT